TGGTGTTTAAGCAGATTGAATTTGGGAAAAAAAAAATATTTCAAGTTCTTTGTCTTTATATGCGTATAGAGAAATTTAAAAAAAGTCACTTTTCAAGTGCCACTTTACAAAAATACCACTTTTTCAAAAAAAATTGAGAAATTTCAAAAAATGCCACTTTTCAAATGCCACTTTACAAAAATGCCACATTTTTGAAATCTTTACAAAAATACCACTTTTTCAAAATGATTTTTTCTTTATATTATTTATGTTTGGGTTAATTATGTTCCATTAGGGTTTAGTTTTGAGTGTTTATGGGGTTTTAGGTGTCAAAACATTTTTTAAGGTTTAGAATGTTAAGATATAGGCTTTATAAATCTATAATTAGTGGTATTTTTGTAAATGAACACCCCTAAGTGGCATTCTTGCAAATGTGCACATAAAAAGTGGCATTTTTGTAATTGCCCCAAACAAAATTTTCTTTATATTATTTATGTTTGAGTTAATTATGTTCTATTAGAGTTTAGTTTTGAGTGTTTAGGGGGTTTTAGGTGTCAAAATATTTTTTAGGGTTTAGAATTTTAAGATATATGCTTTATAAATCTATAATTAGTGGCATTTTGTAAATGAACACTCTTAAATGGTATTTTTGCAGATATGCATATAAAAAATGGCATTTTTGTAATTGTCCCACAAAAAATATTATTTGCATGATTTACTTTTCAAGATAAAAATTGTGGGGGAAGGGTACCTTTAAGGAAAGTGAGTAAATGGGTCCTCGTCTAATTATTTTTTATTCATCTATCTTCACATTAAATTTTAAAATCAAAACCTAACTTTTATTCATATGCTTTTGAATTCTTTTTTTTTTTTTTGATAAAACTTTTTAATTCTTTTTAATTTGGCAATAACATAATTACTTCTCCTCTCTTTCTCCTTTATATATTTGTACCACAAATTCCTCTTCAACTAAATCTCCAATAGTTCTATCTAGTTTCATGTTTCTCTCATGTTTCTCTTCCCAATAGTACTAATAAACAAAGATTCTGATTCGATCCAAGCCAAGATCAACGTCTAAAGATGT